CTACTTGGGAGAAATACTTTGAACAATAACAGAGGCTTTCCTGACTCAAATTTTCATAGCCTGAAACTCTTTCCCTAGTCACTGCCCATATGATTACAATTTATCAAAATTTGTAGGATGAGTGAAAGCAATGCTTAGAGGGAAATTTATAGCACTGAATGCATATATTAGAAAAGAAGAAAGATCTAAAACCAATCATCTAAGTTTCCATCTTAGGAAACCAAAGAAGAGCAAATTAAATCCAAGTGGAAGAAAATAGTAAAAATTTAGAGCTGTATCAGTAAAAATTAAGAAATAAGCAGAGAAGATGAAAAGCTGGTTCTTTGAAAAGATCAATAAAATCAATAAGCCACTTAGCCAGGCTAACTAAGGAAAAAAAGAGAAAAGACATAAATTCTAATGTCAGATATGAAATAGGGGACAGCACTGCAGCTCCCATGAACATTAAAAGGATAGTAAAGAGATATTATGAACAACTCTGCCCCTGTATTTGATAACCTAGATGAAATGGACCAAGTCCTTGAAAGACAAACCTGCCAAAACTCACATAAAACATAGACAATCTGAATAAGCCTAGGTCTATTAAAGAAATTGAATCAATAATAACCTACCAGAACTGAAAACAACAGGCCCACATGGGTTCATTGGTAAATTCTAATAAACATTTAAAGAACGGGTATCAATTTTCTACAATCTCTTTAATAAGATAGAAGCAGAGAGAATACATTCCTAACCCATTCTGAGGCCAGCATTGCCCTATTATATTTTTTAAGGTTTTATTTGACAGACAGCGAGAGAGGGAATACAAGCAGGGGGAAGTGGGAAAGGGAGAAGCAGGCTTCCGGCTGAGCTGGGACCCTGGGATCCATGAGCCACCCAGGTGCCCCACATTACCCTAATATTAAAACCAGACACAGATATCACAAGAAAAGAAAATGACAGGCCAATATTGCTCATGAACATAGATGCAAAAATCTTCACCAAAATATTAGTAAATCAAATCCAAAAAATTAAAGAATTATATGCCATGATCAAGTAAGACTTATATCCCCAATATGTAAAGCTGTTCAACACTGAAAAAGCAGCTAATGGAATCCACCATATCAGCAAGCTAAAGAAAAAGCAAATGATCCTATCAATAGCGGCGAAAAATTATTTAACTCCTATTCAGGATAAAAACTGTTGGCAAGCGGCAGCTGGGTGATTCAGTCGGTTGGGTGTCTGACTCAGTTTCAGCTCAGGTTATGGGCTCCATGTTCTGTGTGGCGTCTGCTTGTCCCTCTCCCTCTACTCCATTCCCACTCTTGCTCTTCTCTCTCTCTAATAAATAAAAATAAAATCTTTACAAAAATTCTCAGCAAACTAGGAATAGAGAGAAACTTCCTCAACTTGAAAAAGAACAACTACAAAAACCTACAGTTCCCATCACACTTAGTGGTGAGAAACTCAAAATGTTCCTACTAAGATTGGAACAATGAAACGATGTCTCCTCTCACAACTACTTTCCAACACCATACTGGATTGTCCTTACTAGTAATTACCTATGTAGAAAATCCTAAAAGAATTATTCTGGCACATCCAGACAACGGGATATCATTCACTGCTAAAAAGAAAGGAGCTATCTTTTCAAGCCCTGAAAACATACAGAGGAAATTTAAATGCTTATTGATACTGAAAAACGCCAACTTGGAAAGGCTACATACTGTATGATTCCAACTATATGACTGTGGAAAAGGCAAAACTATGGAGTAAAAAGATGTGTTTGCCAGGGGTTAGTGGGGAGAAATGAATGAACAGAGCACAGACCAATTTTAGGGCAGTGAAATGATTTTATATGCTACTATAATGGAAGCTACATGCTGTTACACGTATGTCTAAACCCGTAGAATGTATATCACCAAGAGTGAACCCTAATGTAAACTTTGGACTTCCAGTGTGTGTTAGCTTGGCTGCTATAACAAAATATCACATACTGGATGGTTTGAAAAACAGACATTTATTTCTCCTAGTTCTAGAGACTGGGAAGTCCAAGATCAAGGCGTTGGCAGATTGGATTCTAGGTGGGGGCCCTCCTCCTGGCTCATAGATGGCTGCCTTCCCATTCCTCCTCTTTGCCCCTTCTTAGAAAGACAATAACCCCATCATGGGATTACCCATAATTACCCACCATTACCCTCATGACTTCATCTAATCCTATTTACCTCCTGAATACCCCACCTCCAAATACTACACTGACTGAGGATCAGAGTTATCAACATATGAATTTGGGGGAAACACGAATATTCAGTCTGTAACAGGGTGATAGTAAATGTTCTTGCTGTTCCCACGTGCTGGACTGTGTGAAAACCTCATCAAACCGGAAATTCCCATATAATCACATTAATACAATGAAAAAACAAGCGTGTGCACGTGTGTTCACACACACACAAGGTGGGCAGAGAGCATAACGTTTCTTAAAACTGCTTAAAAGAACTGCTTTTCTTTTGAAATGCTCTGATGTCAAAAAATTTTAACTTGTCAGATAGTATATACTATCCTGAAAATTATTCTATCTTAGTTTATACTATTTCTCTCATACACACATACAATATAATGCATTAGTGAAAGCATTACTTTGTGCCCAGAGAGAAGGCACAAAGTTCTAAAGAATAATTTTACACTTCTGTCCAAAGGCTAATCATTTTTAAAGGTGTGTGCGCAAAGATACTATTTGGGAAAAAATGTACCCTAACTTTGATGTGTTATTGACTATATTGTACTAAAGATGGTAATACTCAAAAGAATTATTCCTGACAATGGGAAGAATTTCCTGAGAATATCCATAATATAGATGGCCAGAAATCTTTTCCCTTGAGAACCAGATTAGAAACCTATTCTGTGAACCATCTGAAAAAAAACAAACCAAAAAACCTATCAACCCCTGCAGAGTTGTTTTTCAAACAGGGAGCCTGTGATGGGAGCTCAGAGAGGAAGTTATGAGGTGTTGCTGTCTTGCTGCTGAGGAGATCAGCAGCACAAAAGTTGATAGTAAAGCATCAGCTGGGGAGAAGTGAGGAATTAACACTGCTTGGCTTTGAGCCTTCAAAACAATTCTGGTTTAAGCGAACTTTTGGAGCTTGAAGGTAAAGATCAGAATGTTCTGCCCTTCCTACTAATGGGGCTCCTACCTCAGGACATACAAGTTCTCAAAGCAGCACAGTATAGTAAGTCAAAAGTTTTGTGTGCCACAGATAATAGATTTCTGTTGAAGCTTAAATGATAGTTTATTTTGAGGGGTTAATCCAACTTTTAACCTTCTAAGTGCGGTCCATATACACAATGGGATATTACTCAGTCATCAGAAAGGATGAATCCCCAACTTTTGCCATCATTGTGGATGGAACTAGAGGAGATTATGCTGAGTGAAATAAATCAGGCAGAGAAAGTCAATTATTATATGGTTTCACACGTAAGGAATAGCACGGAGGACATTAGGAGAAGGAAGGGAAAAATGAAGGGGGGAGAAATGGAGGGGGAGATGAACCATGAGAAACTATGACTCCAGGAAACGAACTGAGGGTTTTAGAGAGGAGGTGGGTAGGGTGGATGGACGAGCCCGGTGATGGGTATTAAGGAGGGCACATATTGATTGGAAGACTGGGTGTTATACGCAAACAATGAATCGTGGAACACTATATCAGAAACTAATGATGTACTGTATGGTGACTAATATAACATTTTGTTTTTAAAGTAAACCATTTCAAACCGGAAGTGCTTTTCTAAGAGGCCACGGAAGGCATCTGCATAATCTAGAATTGAAATTCACATGATCCACATTTTAAAAGATGTTCATTCCATTCACTCTCATCTATCACTGTCGAATAGGTTTTGATATTTTTCCCTTAAAAATGCTGGTAACAGAAGTTCATATAATAATTACTTCTGAGATGTATATTGCCTGAGAGATTCGTTTTCTAAATCTGTTATTCAGCCTAAAAATAGTAAAGAAAATTAAAAAAAAAGAAAAGAAAACTTACACTGAAATATTGTTTGCACCATCAACTCTAATGACTGGTTCACACTAATAAAACTAGGAAAATAGTATATCTATATAGTTCATATAATAAATAAAATGTAAGCACAAAGTATTTCAATACATAAATAAAAGCTTTACACATCCAAAATATGGTGTGTGTATATAAAATATATCTGTAAAATTTAATGAGCTACTATAAGCTACTATAATTATTATAAATTACATATTTATTTCAATATAGAAATATATTCTCTCTAATGTTTTAAATTTTAGGGATAACTTGAATGGTACTGTTATGGAGAATAATTTCATGTACTGAGCTTTTTAATAATTCACTGTTATTAGTAATTCAATGGAAGGGTATAACTGATAATAATGAGTAACTTCTTAATTATGGCAAAAGTACTGGTTGAAGGAATATAAAGACAGTGGGCCGTTTCCGTAGAGGCAGTTAATACTGACAGTCAGTGGAAAGAGAACATATGTCCAATATGGTGGGTCTTGAGGACCAGCTCTGTAGGATGGTGTGGGCCAAATAGCAGGGTTTCTATGCAGGTGACCATCTCATTTCATTACTTACAGAAACTACTTTAGGAGAATTCTTCCAAGGCAACAATGTATTTTAACGTGTCTGGGAAGTTAATACATCTACTGCTTCTCAATATTTAAAAGTCTGTATGATAAGTTAACCTCCACTTTAGATATTTTAAAACATGGTCTTTATATCTACCAATTTGGACAAATTAATGACTTAAGGGTAATGGAGAAACAGTTGAAGACATTTATTTTGCTCCTCAAGTAAAGGTGAGGAAAAGTTATGATGATGTTTAACGAGAGACTTTGCTAGGTAAGCACTGAAGGGCAAGAGGCCAGTACTGAACACATACTAGTGTTTGCCCATTTTATCATTTTGCCCAGATGGATCCGTTATTCAGGGAGACGTTTTTAAATAACTGGGTTATTTAATAAGAAGCTGTAGATAATTTTTTTTTTTGGAAGCTGTAGATAATTTTAAAGTGGCTTGAGAAAATCCATTCTTTCTGAAAGTTGATGTATAGTGTTTTTATCTATTATTATGTTGGGGGATTTCTATAGTCCTTGGGTTATTATCTCATTCTTGTCAAATTCATATAAACTTTCCAGTAAAGAGTACACAGTGAGTTAAAAATCTCTTACAACTGTACTTACTTTCAGAAAGTATATTTCTTCCTACAGCTTATTAGGAAATTAGTTTACAAATATAAATATAAATTAATTTTCCATTCACATCTTATTCCCACATATTCCATGACATATAATCACTTTAACATAGCATTTTTGCTTGAGATTTTATCTTCTAAATAAAGCCTCCAATTTGGGGGGGTAAATATACAGTCTGATTAAAATGTTTACACATGTTAAATATATAGAGTATATAACAATTTAATTGCTAGTGATCCACTGATACTTATTTTCTGTTTCTTCTTTTTGGGCTCTTTGTTCTTCCCGGTGATTAGCTGCAGTCCAAAATGTTATTTTTTTGACTACTTGTTGCAGAAGTTTAGGAGGTAATAAAGATATCTGACTTTCTAAAATTAAAGCATTTTTGCCAATGCAGTCAAGGCATGACCTGTAAACAAAACATAACGGAATTGTTAGTTTTTGAACCTGAAGTTATAAAATATTTATAGGTAAGTATTCTTCATAAAAATGATTATAAAATTTTTACATGATAATGTATTTCTTCTGTATTGTTTGGAACATGAGAAGATACATGTTCTTCCCAGAGCACCACAGTAATTACGTATTTTTATAGCATAGAGGCCATATCTGGCCAAAATCTAATAGAAACAGAAATTACAATTTACCATGGACCATGCATAATGTTATTTAAGCAGAAAAGACTCAGACTTAATATCAAAGCAGGGTAGTCTATAGCAGATGTTTTTTCATTTATCCTTCCAGTCCAATAACCATTTAATCTTCTCTGAGAACTAAATCTTTTTCTTCCATCACCCCAAGATGAAGTATCTAATACCCATTTTTATGCCACAGGACCTGGTCCGCCCCATCCCCATTCTGTAACTCACTGCACTGGCACACTCCACTTACACTGACCCAGGGAGAACAGGTCTGAGGAGAGGAATGAAGGGAACAGCAATATAGAAAGAGCCCAAGAGAGACCACCTGAGGTCCACCCTTTCTGGGTACCCTGTTCACTTGTCGCCTTTGATTCTCCTAGACAGTGTGTCCTTCCAAATACAGTTCCCTTTTTATCTTCAGCTATGTTGAAGAGGATTTCATATTTTAAAACCAAAAGAAACTTGCTTGAGAACTATCAAGAAAGCATCTATTTCAATGGATAATTTTTTTTTTAAGATTTTATTTATTTATTTGACAGACGGATCACAAGTAGGCAGAGAGGCAGGCAGAGAGAGAGGAGGAAGAGGCTTCCTGCTGAGCAGAAAGCCCGATGTGGGGATGTGGGGCTCGATCCCAAGACCCTGGGATCATGAACCGAGCTGAAGGCAGAGGCTTTAACCCACTGAGCCACCCAGGTGCCCCAATGGATAAACTTTTAATCAAAAAGGTAAGTAAATCTTTATAAAACCTTTTAAAGATAGATTCATTTGATTCTGCTGTAGTTAACCCCAGTTGTCATTTTATAAGGACTTACACTCTAGATATTTCAATCTTCTTCCTTACTTTCATGAAGCCTTTTTTCTCTACCCTGTGACAACTCTAAGGAGAGTGAAAAGCAAATGACACAAATCCTACACTTGATGTAAACTTAACTGGGCCACTCTGGTAACACAAGAACTCCCGCGCCCCTACCACGACCATGACAGGGGAAGGGAAGAGTTAGATAAGGAGATGGACTCCGTCATTACTATTCATTCACTGATGCAACAAGTATTAATTTGTGTGCACAACTTAGGAGGAGGAAGCCCAATTTTGAGGAAACCCCCATTTCAACTTTTTTTTAAAAAAGATTTTATTTATTTGAGACACAGAGAGAAAGCATAAAGGGGGAGGATAAGGAGCAGACAGAGAGGGAGAAGCAGATTTCCTGAGCAGGGAGCCTGATGCTGAGGCTCCATACCAGAACCCTGGGATCATGACCTGAGCTAAAGGCAGATGCTTAACTGACTGAGCCACCCAGGTGCCCCCCACTATTTCAACTTCCAAGGAGATTACAATTTAATGAAGATAAACAATGCTGTGACTAGGATAACATGAAATTTCCACACCAGATACAGGGTTCTAGGGGAATCAGAGAGGAAGAATAACCAGGACAACTGCAGCAAGGAAAACCTTCCAGATGGGACGTCCAAGCTGAGACCCTGAGGGTCTCAACAAATAAAAGTATTCCATGATAGAGGAACCACACCTGCAAAGCCCTAGAAATGAGAAATAAGATTTATTACAGAAACTGCAACTGAGAGGTTCAAATATAGCTCTGGCAGAGTATGAGGGGTCAGGGGACATGGCAAGAAATGAGGTAGAGAGATCTGTGGAGGCTGGGAACATCATGGTAAGGAATCTGCAGTTTGTCTAAGGGCAGTGGGAGCCACTGACTCATCACAGTGTAAAATGTGCATTTGCCTTGATCCACCAACATCCTTTGTAGAAATTTCCTCCTGAGAAGATATGCAAATTTTCCAAAAGCATATACAAGAATATTATACACATAATTTTTATAATAGCTCCAAATTTTAGATATCCTGAATACATATAAATAGACTAGTAAGTAAATTATAACTTCCATGAAATAGAATACTGTATAGCCATTATAAACATAAATGTAAATCTGTAACTCACTGAATGATTATATATCTACATAAAATATGCCCACAATATGAGTTTCAAAAGCAGACTATAAACAGGATGCATAATCCGACCCCTTATACCCAAGCGCGTGTGCACACACACACACACACACCCTGTGTATACTGCTTTCGCTAAGGTTTGAGGGACTTCTTAGCACGATTAAATCAACAACATTTTTCATTTTAAAGTGTGGAAGGATAAACATCAAACTGCTAACAATGATCATTGTAGATAACGGCTTTTTAAAAACCATTTATTTTTTCATATTGTATGAATTTTCTTGGTAGACACATTTTATTTTTTTATCAGAATAACAGGTATTTTAAAACTATGTATGTAACCGCGTGTACGATGAGCACGATCCCACAGATATATCAGATCATGTCAGTTCTTTGAGATGAGGAACCACAGCGTTTCCATCCTATTCGTCTTTCTTTTCCCCTACTAGCTCAACACCGTAAGTGCTAATGTCTGCTGACTGATAATTTTAAAATAAAAGAATGGCTCTGGCTGCGCTGCTGGCGGCAGGTTGTGGTGGATATGCCTCACACTAAGCCACTAAATTCCCGCTAGATTCAAGGTTTAGTTTTAGATTCAAGGCTTTTAAAATGAAGACTTTTTAAAAGTAACCTCCACACCCGAGGTGGGGCGCCAACTCACAACGTCAAGGTCAAGAGTCCGGGCTCCACCTACCTGAGCCAGCCAGGCGCCCCTTTTACAGTCTAGCTCTGGTGTCAGGGAGAAGCTGTGCTGGGGCGGAGGGTGCCACGCCGAAGCCTGCGGGGGGCCGCCTCCGTCCCAGCCTCCAACACCAGCGCACGCGGCCTGCCCTCCGGGTTTCCCGCGTCTCTCCGCCGGGGCCTCTTCCCCATCCCCGCTCCCCGCCCACCTGAGCTCCGTGCTTTCTGGAGCAGCGGCCACACGGCAAACACCCTGCCCGCGCCGGCACCCTCGCTCTAACTGCTCTCTCGGCCGCGGCTCCGGGCAGCCTTTGGAGAGGAGCGCAGCCCGCCCGCGGCTCGGCGAGCACCGTCCAGGGGCTGCCGCCACTGCTCGCGCTCCTGCTCCGACCCCGGGGCTGCGTCCCTCCGCCTGCCGGGCTCTCCTCTGTTAACGGATTGCTTCTCCCCGTCCCTGCGGACTTCGTGTGGAAAACCCGTTTAGTCTTCCCAACCTCACTCAGGACAGGGCCGCCTCCGAGATCTTCCACGTCCACCCTCTCCTGCGGGACCACCGCCTTGCGCCCGGCTCCTCCGCACTCCCTTCCTCCCCGCGCTGTTCCCGGTCCTCCAGGCGCCAGGGCCCCTCCGGCCTTACTTTTTTTTTTTTTTTTTTTTTAAGATTTTATTTATTTATCTGACAAACAGAGATCACAAGTTGGCAGAGAGGCAGGCAGAGAGAGAGAGGGAAGCAGGCTCCCCGCTGAGCAGAGAGCCTGATGCGGGGCTCGATCCTAGGACCCTGAGACCATGATCTAAGCCGAAGGCAGAGGCTTAACTGACTGAGCCACCCAGGCGCCCCCGGCTTTACCTTCTTTTGCTGCCCGCCCGGTGCGTCTGCACTTCGTGCTCTGGCCCACAACTGGACCCCTCGCCCCGCGTGCCTCGGTGACACTCAGCTCCCACAGGGGTGGACTCGGAGCCCTGTCCTTCCCGAGCTGACCACCCCGCAGCCTAGTGCGGCTGTAGCGGAGCCTGCGTGGGCTGACCTGCCCCCCCCCTTCCCCCCTTTCTCCCGCCCCCGTCCCGGCCCGTTCTCTTCAGCCTCGGAGGGGCCGCGAGTGCTCGGCTGTGTGACGGGGTCCTCGTCCGTACCTTCTCCAAGCCACCATGGAAGGGATCTCCAGTCTTCCCCGCACCTCTTACGTTCGTATGTCACCTCTCCTCCTTGTTCCCCGACGACCTCACTGCCAACTAAAACTTTCTCAGCGCCCTGTCCCCCACCCCCCAGCCAACAAATTCCTCTACTTTTATATTCCTACTTCCCTCATTTTAAAGCGTTCTTTCATCAACAACTGATTCAGTTAGCTGCTGACTAAAATCCGTCTTCTCAAGACCCTGCTCTGACAATTTTTCCTTCATTTTCTTGCGTTTCCAACAATTGGCTGCTGCTTCTCAGCATATAAACAAATACAGTCACCTTTCAACAGCGACAGGGTTAGGGGCACCCAGGTCCCATGCAGCAGAAAATCCACACATAACTTTTGACTCCCCCCAAACTTAATTACTAATAGCCTACCGTTGACTGGAAACTTTATGGATAACATACTCAGTTAATATACATTGTGTGTGTTATATGTTATATACTGTATTCTTACAATAAAGGAAACGGGAAAAAAGAAATGTTACTAAGAAAATCCTAGGAAGGGGGGCCTGGACGGCTCAGTCCTTAAAGTGTCTATCCAGCTCTGGTCATGATCCAAGGGTTCCTGGGGTCGAGCCCCACATCAGGCTCCTTGCTCAGCCAGGAAGCCTGCTTCTCCCTCTCTCACTCCCCCTGCTTGTGTTCCCTCTCTCGCTGTGTCTCTCTCTCTCTGATAAATAAGTAAAATCTTAAAAAAAAAAAAAAAAATCCTAGGGAAGGGGCGCCTGGGTGGCTCAGTGGGTTAAACATCGGCCTTCCACTCAGGTCGTGGAGATCAAGTTCCGCATCCACTCCCTGCTCAGTGAAAAAATCTGCTTCTCCCGCTCTCCCTCTGACCCTTCCCACTGCTCATTCTGTCTCAAATAAATAAAATCTTTTTTTTAAGATTTTGTTTATTTATTAGTCAGAGAGAGAGAGGGAGAGCGAGCACAGGCAGACAGAGTGGCAGGCAGAGGCAGAGGGCGAAGCAGGCTCCCTGCCGAGCAAGGAGCCCGATGTGGGGCTCCATCCCAGGACGCTGGGATCATGACCTGAGCTGAAGGCAGCCGCTTAACCAACGGAGGCACCCAGGCATCCCTCAAATAAATAAAATCTTAAAAAGAAAGAAAATCCTAGGGAAGAGAAAACACATTTACAGTGCTGTGCGGATTTATGGGGAAAAGCCTGTGTACAAGTGAACCTGTGCACCTCAGACATGTGCTGTTCAAGGGTCAACCCACTCCTCACTCTTCCTGTAGCCTTGCTGCTGCTTGGGAGAAATGACCCTTGTGATCATGGCCAAACACCACAGCATTTTTCGATCCAGATATTCTGTGACCTCTTTACAGTTAGTAGTCTCTCTGACTTCAGTTCTTTCCTCCCTCCGTTTTTCATTTCTCATTTCCAGTATCTCCTGGTTCACCTTTCACTTTCCTGGTCATTCTCTTGTGCCTCTTTTCCTCTAACTACTCAGATGTTGAGTTCTTAGCGCTCAGTTGTTGGCTTCATCCTTACTCTTAAAATTCTTCTTGGGCAGAGCTAGCACATGCCCATTTATACTTCAGTGATTCTTTTTTTTTTTTTTTAAGATTTTATTTACTTATTTGACAGGGAGAGAGTACGCACTAGTACGCAGAGTGGCAGGCAGAGAGAGAAGCAGGCTCCCCACTGAGCAGAGAGCCAGATGTGGGACTTGATCCCAAGACACTGGGATCATGATCTGAGCCAAAGGCAGGTGCTTAACTGATTGAGCCACCCAGGCACCCTATGATTTTTTTTTAAAGTAGGCTCCATGCACCAACATGGGGCTTGAACTCATGACTCTGACATGAGGACCTGAGCTGAGATCATGAGTTGGATGCTTAACCAACTGAGCCACCCGAGAGTCCCTATCCTCCAATGATTCTTTATGTCTATCCCAGATATCTCTCCATATACTTATCTAGTTAATGAATAGCTCCATTAAAGATGCCATAAGTACTTTAAGCTCAAAAGGCCCCAAACCAAATTCATCTTTCTAAGCCATCCTACCTTCAAACTCATTTCCTTCTTCATAGACTCTCTATTACTAATTCTTCCCTCTTCTTTTCCTACCAAGCCCATTCTACCTCCATCCCTTCTCCAGCTCCATGGCCACTTTCAAGATCAGTCCCATACTTTGTGTTTGACCACTGTAAGACTCTATTAACTTTCCTTACACAGTAATATAACCCTCTAATCTCTTATCCACATTGTTCTCAAAGGAGCTTTCTTATTTGTAATATGATCATCTCATTCCTCTGCTGCAAATTTTTCAGTGGTTCTTGATCTCCCACAAGATAATGTAAACTCATCTGCATGAAACACAAAGGCTCTAGATGATATATGGTTTCTGATTTCTTGTCGAACTCCCTACCTCATGCATATGTCTAGGAACGCTCAAAAATTCAGTTTCCAGAACATATATATTTGTGTATCTTGTACTAACACCCTTGCACTGCTTGTTTGTAGCAAACTGTCTCAAACTCTTCCTCTTCTGCAAAGACTCCCCTAACCCTCACCATCTTAACCACATGGGTAGAGGGTCTTCTTTGTCAGTAGTCCCATTAACTTCGTATATGCTTCTCTTAAAACAATTTTATTTTTCTTTTATAGTTGTTGAACACCTGCCTTCTATATTACTAGCAGTTTAAGGGAAAGAGCATTACTTTTCACTTCATAGTATAGTGCCGTCCCATGGCAGGCACTTGAATACTATATTTTTTGATCCCTGCATATAAAGAACTTACAATCTACTTAGGGAAAGTAGTTATGTTCACAGCAAAAGTTAAGTAACAATACAAGACAGTATAATCATGACATCTGCACTTTAGAACTATGGGGCACCTGGGTGGTTGAGTGGGTTAAAGCCTCTGCCTTCGGCTTGGGTCATGATCTCAGGGTCCTGGGATCGAGCCCCGCATCGCGCTCTCTGCTCGGTGGGGAACCTGCTTTCCCCCCTCTCTCTCTGCCTGCCTCTCTGCCTACTTGCGATCTCTGTCAAATAAATAAATAAAATCTTAAAAAAAAAAAAAGAACTATGTTGGGGTCTTCCAAAAATTCCTAAGTTCAGGCCACGCCCCAGACCAATTAAATCATAACACATGGGCGGGGAACACAGGCATCAATACTTTTTGAAGTTCCCTATGAGATTATATAACATGCAGTCACAGAAGGAACCATTGCAGTAATAGAAGGAGGGGTCTCTCTCTCAAATAAATAAAATCTTAAAAAAGCAAAACAAAACAAAACAAACTTGGTCACTGAGCAACTTTTACTTCACTCAAATCCTTCTTCCTGACCCTCACAGGAAGAAATGGGATTTTTTTTTTAAGATTTTATTTATTTATTTGACACAGAGAGAGAGAGATCACAGGTAGGCAGAGAAGCAGGCAGAGAGAGAGGGGGTAGCAGGCTCCCCACCGAGCAGAGAGCCCGATTTGGGACTCAGTCCCAGGACCCTGGGATCATGACCTGAGCTGAAGGCAGAGAGGCTTAACTCACTGAGCCACTCAGGCACCCCAAGAAATGGGATTTTTTTTTTTTTTTCACAATATTCCAACTAAACCTTGTAAACCTTGTTAAACCTTCCTTTTAAAGCAAGAATGTATGAGCTAAGACATTGTAAGTCACACCACCAATTTAATAACAGCTTTGGTGTTAAAAAAAAGAGAGAAATTCTACTAAATTAAATGCATATATATGTGTGTCTATTATTGGACACACTCTGATTTCAGAAAAGTTAAAATATGAAATATTTCAGGCTTAGAATCAAGGAAGTACAGTAAGCTTAATATTCCCATATAAAAATATGATTGTACTATATATTTTAATTTTTAAAAATCACATTGGTGTATGGTTCACTATTATAAGTTTGATTATACTTTTAGGAAGATATAAACATTTTCTTAAATTCAAGTCATAAACTACTTGAAAAGTTATCACACTTCTCAAAAAGGAAGATGAAAGAAATTATCATATCTTAATAGCATATACATATCATGTCTTTTTTTAAAAAATATTTTATTTATTTATTTGACAGACAGAAATCACAAGTAGGCAGAGGCAGGCAGAGAGAGAGGAGGAAGCAGCCTCCCCGCTGAGCAGAGAGCCCGATGCAGGGCTGGATCCCAGGACTCTGGGATCATGACCTGAGCCAAAGGCAGAGGCTTTAACCCACTGAGCCACCCAGGCACCCCTACATATCGTATCTTAATAGCATATAGTTATATGCTATTATACCTTAATATAATATATTAATATTTATTTTATATATATAGCATATACTAATAAGATATGATAATTTCTTTCATCTTCCTTTATTTATATGTATATAGCATATATATATGTATATATGTATATAGCATATATACATATATATATAATGAATTTACTTACCTGAGTAGTGAATAAGGCTGTGTTTGAAAGATCAATAAATCATTACAGTGGCCCTAATCAACATAAAAAAAGAATTATCAAGGTGTTTAAAGAATAAAAATGCATTAATAATTTAATATTTTTATTTTGTAAATGTAAAAGAAATTATAAGCAGCAAATAAATCTCTCCCCCTAGTTATTCATACACACACACACACACACCATACATATACACACACCTGCTAGCCACACAAACTTTGGGTAGGTCGCTACCATTTCTCAATGACCAAGTTTTTACCTAACCACAACATACACAATTGCAAATTTAAAATTCAGATACATGTTTTTCTCTTAGAACAATGAGCTCAAAACGAGAAAAGTAGTGATTTTCAAGCTTTTTTGTTTTTAAGGAGAACTTTTCTCTTCCAAATGACTCTTATTTTAAAATCTCTTTATCTTGTCTCTATTTTCTAGATGGTCCCAGGAGTCCCTGGGAATTCATTTGGAAATCTCTGATCCCAGAAGATTTTTTTTTTAAAACATTTTATTTATTTATTTGAGAGAAGAGAGAGACAGTGAGAGAGAGCATGAGCGAGGAGAAGGTCAAAGGGAGAAGCAGACTCCCCGTGGAGCTGGGAGCCTGATGTGGGACTCGATCCCGGGACTCCAGGATCATGACCTGAGCTGAAGGCAGTCGCTTAACCAACTGAGCCACCCAGGTGCCCCCAGAAGATTTTTTGAATAATGATTCTCTCATCTAAAAATTAATGTGGAAGAATCAACAGAAAAATGTCCCTAATCCTTTCAAATAAGCCTTTAGAATTTCATAATTTATGATCATGATTTTAATCAGGATTCCTGTTTTAATGATAAACTCTGTATCCTACCAATTTCTAGTGCCAAGAAAAAGAAGACAAACCACAAAATTCGCTTTTCAATTAAATGCAAAGTCGTGATTTTAATCTTTTGTTGAAACACTGAATTCTCACCCAAAGAAAGTTCTCAGACTTTCAATGTATGAAACGTTTAAATTGGAGGTTTCAAAACTGTAAAGTAAACCAAATCCCCTGGAGAGAAGCCAGCTCATTTCAGGGTTCGCCACTTGGCAGGCACAACTCTGGAGATAACTATGTCTAGAAAGATGTCGGGGAGAGTGCTGGCACCAACATGGCTGGATTCTGGCTGGTGCCTCCTGTCCCTGCCAGTTCTGAGTCCTGCTGTTCCCAGATGTCCTACACAAACCAAAGCAACCAATCCTGAGCTGCTGTCCCATCACAACACAGTAGGAGCGTGGCCACCTTGCTCTGAAATTCCCAAGGTGCAAGGAGTGAAAGAACAATACTCTCCAAATGCTTTTCATTTATTTATTTGACCTTAGTTTTATCAAATTTTAAAAGTGCAATGCTTTACTCTTAAATATAAGGTGGGTAAAGCTGTGGCAAAAGACACATAAAGTAAAAAGAAAGTACACTTAAAAATTTCAAGCTACTTTCTTCTTGATGGGAGAAGCTAGCACTGGTTTTCCAGTTATTAGGTGAGGTACCAATTTCATGGGGACTTACTACTATACTTAGTAGTTTACGTATACATTGTATATAGTCTTATGAAATATCAATTATAACTTGGAAATATTTTAATCTAATAAAATTACAAACACCCATACTATGGTGAGACTCAGAAAAAGAAGGTCTTTTAAAAGCTCTTAATAACTTGACTATGACGTTTGTCATTAGTCAAACTAATGAGTTTGATTCGTAAACTCAAAATATCCTGAAATACTTCCCAAAAGCTACTTGTTCTGAAGATTAATCACCCTATCAAGTAACATTTCATATTCTCCCATATTTGGCAATGTGGGAATATCAACAATTCTGCTGAATAGCCATTTAGTTAGAATAACAAAACCACTCAAAGAAAATAGTTAGATGTGAAATTTTCTTACTGTATCCAAGGAAAGTAAATCATCTTTGCTCCCACCAAATACCATTATTTCATTTTCTTTCCCCAAACAGGCTGTATGCCATAACCTATAATTGAAAATTATAAGCAGAGTAAAATACTATGAAGAAGGAAACTATATATGACATATAAATCAATTTTAAACTGCACACTTCACATTTAATCTATTTCAAAATGGGCATGATTGAATTTGAACCTTTGGCATATCCTAAAAGAGATTTTGAAGATTCCTCTAGAATCACTAAACCATTAGATTCTCATTAAATCACATCAATTTAAGGAGATGACCCCTAATAATTCTTTTCTATTATATCCCCCAACCTTTTTCTAGCCTCTTCATCTTATAGATATTATCAGTGAAATAAAATTAATTAAAAAGGAACTGATCATCCTATTGCTGAAAAATGTAATTTTTCCCTAATTTTCTTATTATTATCTGCCATGTTCCTGTTTTCATCATTTTTGGCTTTTCTTTCCTGTTCTCTGTTCCCCATCCCCTAACAAACCCAACTTGGCTGTCCCTTCATGTTTACACTGTCACACTACTTATCACTTTGGGCAAAGAATACCAGAATTGTTCCTTATTTTTCTGTCTCTAGTCTCTCTCAGCTACACTTGGCTGTAAATAATATTTTTGAAATGTTTTTAACCATGGACATGTCCTGCTCAGGAAGCAACTGTGCCATTTTTCTCAGCCTCATATGCATGATCAACAATTATTTCTTTTTCTCATAATTCTTAATTCTTGGCCCCTCCCACTGCAATGAACCCTCTCTTCCTCCCAAGTTCATTTATCTGCATCCCCTAAGAGAAAATCTTATCTGTCTGTAGGCTTTTGCTCACCCCATTTCTTATGATTAAGATGATAAGTCATTCTTTCAGGGCCTTAAGCACAGGTTCAAAATCTCCAGGAATCATCCAAATACCCAAACAAACCGGCTCGGTTACCCTCCCTGGTTAGCACCTTTGAAGATTTCCATGTTCGTTTTATAATCTTCTGACTTACATTTGGAGAGAAACTGCTCTATATACTACTTTAATTATCTGATGTGTGGATCTTCTAAAGGTCCACATGTGAGGTCCTTAGATCAAAACTTGCCAGTGGTGTGCTGGAAGGGGCTTACCGGGTCGGTGAAACCAAGTCTGCCTGTCTCTGTCCAAATCCACGTTCAGTGCCATCTCGGTGGGAGCCTGAAATTGGCCATGGTGGGAACCAGCAAATACTACAAATTAGGGCTTTTTTGTTTTGTTTTTCCTGGAAAGCAGTCAGTTTAAGCCTTTACCAGCACACCACTGCAACTCGGGAAATCTAATTTTATGCTTCTCTTTAAAAATGCCTAAATATGGTGCTCTGCGTCCGGGGGGGGGGTCAAAAACTCTAACAAAAGGAAATGCAAAAAACCACCATAATTTATTCAATTATTAAATAAGTTATCTCGTAGGAGTAGAGCATCTAATGTTCTTTTGGAAATGGTCTGATAGCTCACAGTCATCTCTCATTTCACATTATTTACAAAGCATAAACATATGTTTGATAAAATTCAGTACTTTGGGGAGCTCTAAGTCTCAGGACAAAAAAGTACATGTAAAGTTCCCAATTTTAGAAGATAAATCGAGAATTTTACAAAGTCATTGCTTTGACTCTGAATTTTGATGACTTCCCTTAATAGACCAAATTACTGAAGCAACAGACACCCCAGTTACACATTATTACTTATTTTATTACATCACTTATTTTTAGTACATTTATCCTTTTCACTTAACTCCCACAAGTGCAAACAGTAGGATTATGCACAATTTTCTACATCAAGTACTTCCCTCAAACGATCACTCACACATTCAATGACAGTTGCACTCGGCACCCAGGATAGAACTGAGTCATAAGGGATTTTGTTTCGGAAATGCTCTGCCCAATTCTCCAACTTATATGTTAGAACATAAATTGATGTAAGTCTTCATTGACACCCAGATTATGGTGCGAGCTTGGGGACGAGGAATTGGATAAAGGAAGTGGAATACAAGGAACATTTAATTTCTGGGAGAGAAGGCCATGTGTAACCTCGGCAACAATCATGGGATCCATCAGGAAGTACTGGAGGCTCCATAAGTCAATGCTTTGTTGGACTTCTTTTATAGACATGTTATAAAAAAAGGTCCTTGCTGACAGCTACTTATCCAGGCAGTTAGATATGGCTAGAAAGATGGCCTTTCAACCAAGCCTTGCTCTAACTAAGGTGTGACCTGGAGAAGAGTGTGCAATGCTACAAAATGGTGGTTTTCAAACCAGGGCTGATTTTGCCCCCAAAGGACATTTGCCTATATCTGAAATAGTTTGATTGTCACAACTCCAGATGTGTGTGTGAGGGGGGCACAGTACTACTAGGCTCTAGTGGGTGAAGGCCAAAAATACCACTAAACATCCTCCAGGGCACAGGACACCCCTAGTAACAAAGAATAATTTGGTCCAAAATGTCAATTGTGCCGAGGTTGAGAAACCCTGCTGTAGGATTACAAGAGGAGAATTGGGCCATTTACATTTCAAATTATAACTTGAAACAGCACAAAATGTATTTAGATGTTAAGTAAATTCTCACTCATAAAAAATTAGTACACATACATATATATATATGTTCTCCTTACACTAAACTGTATCCCACCTGTTCTCCTCCTCACCTCATACCTGAAGATAGATTTGCCTCTGTCTTATCTGCCTTAGGGAAACTCTGGCCTGGACTTCATCATCGAAGAACACTGGAAAGCCTTTCCTGCCTTGATTTTGGTGACATCTAGCTTGCAACCTGATGTTTGTCTATAGACTGATAGTTTATGTCCTCTCACAGCTGCTCTAAACTTATCACCTAAACATTCTAATAAAGCATATTATTTACATGACACATCAGCTGAATTCAAAGAAATCTCTTTACATAGCTCAGTTCTAACTAATATCATCATTAATAATAGTTGTGTTGCTCTAAATACTTATTAAGGATTGAATTATAAAATAGGAGCAATTTAAAAATTAAACATATTCTTTTTTTTTTAAATTAAACATATTCTTACTAACACTTTGGTCCAAAATTACTGCAGTCATACATTCAAACAACTGAAAGAGAACTAAGAGCTTCTTTAGTCCAACTCCCTCATTTCACGGGATGAAAAAATTAATGCTCAGTTTCTTTAAGTGACTTTCCCAAAGCCAAAAAGCTAAGTAGTAGCTGAGCAAGGACTAGAACACTGGGTTCCCATATCTTAATATACAACTCTTTAAGTTGAAAAATGCATTTCAAAAGATCCAAATTGCTAAAATAATACATTTCAATGAATTTTTACACATGAAAATATAAGAATCACATATGTAATTATGATAAACTCTAACTGTTTTATGCATATTAATACAAATATAGACACTGAAAGATATACAAATTCCTTCAGGCCTTTTTCTCAAGTAACTTAATTGTCATTTATTAAACTTCTGAAATGCACACGATTGAGTTAACTTCACACTTGTATACATAATCTATAGCAAAAAAATTTCTGAAATACATGGCATGCAAAAGGGTAAAATCTATTACTAACTGTAATGATTATAATGTGTTGAATTATATTTTTATTATACTATTCTCTCAAATTAGAAAAAAAAGTATTACAATTCTAATGTGGCTTTCTTTGTACAGTTGACCCTTGAACAACACAGGGGTTGGGGCAGTGATACCCCCAGAACTGAAGACTGACATACGATTTTTGGCTCCTCAAAACTTAGGTACTAATAGCTAACTGTTGCTCAGAAGCCTTACCAATAACATAAATCCAATTAATACATATTTTGTATGTAATATGTATTATGTACCGTATTCTTACAATAAAGGAAGCTAGAGAAAAGAAAACATTATAAAAAATGAATAAATAAATAAAAAGCTAAATCAGACCTACAAATACAGAGAACAAAGTGGTGACTGAAAGAGGAAAAGGGAGTGGGGAGGATGCGCAAAACAGGTGAAGGGGATTGGGAGATACAGGCTTCCGGTTATGGATGAGTAAATCATGGGAATAAAAGGTACAGCATGGGAATACAGTCAGTGACACTGTGGTAGCGTTGCATAGTGACAGATGGCTCCTACAACTGTGGCGAGCATAGGTTAATGTATAGAGCTGTTGAATCACCATGTTATACACCTGAGACTAATGTAACATTGTGTGTCAACTACTCACATTTTAAAAAAGAGAATGTTATTAAGAAACTCATATGGAAAATACATTTATAGTACTGTGTACATTAAAAAAAAATGTATGTAGTAAGTGGATCCATGTAATTCAAACTTGTGTTGTCAAGGATCAATTGTAGTATGATCATATATTGTTTCTACAACTTTTACTCTATAATATATAACAAATAATTTACATGTCTTTTTTTTAAAAAGTTCATATTAATGACTACATCAGTTAATTAAAATAATAATCTGCCATCTATTGATCAACTTTAAAGTAATTTTCTTATTAAATTGCAAAAAACCTCTTCTAAAAACAAATAACTACTAAAGCCAACCCCATTCTTGTCTACTTATCAAAAATATTAACATTATTTGATGCTTCCAATTTCTTAGCCTTTTCATATTATCAGGCAAGATTACACATTTACCTAAAAGAGTAACATTTTTAAGTATGCAAACATGGATGAAAACAGAATAGACCATATCTAACAATCAGACATAATTAAAATGAAACTACTTAGGTAACATCTAGCTTATTTGAAAGATATCTTTCTTGATTATTTACAATTTTAATGACAAACACTATAAAATCAGTGCTATATTTTAATACTTCAGAAATTCTTAACTATTTTACTAGTCATTAACTTCTAGAGTTACCTGGGTCTTGTTTTAGGTAAGTGTGTAAGTTGTTTCCAACCATTTGTTATGACATTATAAATCCAACCGTCACCTGCAATTATGACAGTTCAGAAAGTAAGATTAGGTCTTTAGTATAAAATTTAAACTTTTTCCCAAATTTATCATGCTATATTTATACAACTGTCTTTTTTTGTGTGTATGTATATTTTCTCACAAAAATTTTCAGAAATATACACAGGTAGAATGGCCATGATATGCACCATATGGCCATGACATGCACCCTCACATACCCCAAATTCAACAACTATCCAGGTTTTGTCACACGTGCTCCATTTATCTCTTTTTTGTTATTCTTGTGGCTCAGTTACTTTAAAGCAAATCTTAGCTCTCCTGTCATTTCCCCCATATATACTTCAGTAAATATCACTTTAAAAAATACATTGTTTACAGAACCACAATGCCGTTATCTCATTGCCACAATGCCATTATCATAGTCAACAAAATTAATTCTTGGTATCATATAATATCCAGAAACTAAGCTGAGTCTGTACAGGAGGACTCCGACTGGACTAAGAGTTAGGACAGGGAATTCCCCACATGTCCATGACTAAAAACACCAAATAGGAATTAAAAACATTAAAGCTCAGGGCTCCTGGGTGGCTCAGTTGGTTGAGTGACTGCCTTTAGTTCAGGTCATGATCCCGGACTTTTAGGATCGAGTCCTGCATCGGGCTCCAAGCTCCTTGGGGAGTCTGCTTCTTCCTCTGACCTTCTCCTCTCTCATGCTCTCTCTCACTCATTCTCTCTCAAATAAATAAATAAAATCTTTTAAATGAATAAATAAAAATAATAAAAACATTAAAGCTCAAAAGACATGATATTAAACAACCCCTACTGAAACAAATAGATGTTAGTTTTTTATTAGACTCCAAATCTCTTTTAATTAAAAACCTTCAAATTGGAGAAGCATAATAATTTGCAATACCTAGCACCCCTACTAGAAACTCCTCTGTTTCCCTAGCCAACCTCTGGAGTCCCTTTGCTGCTTGACTCATAGTTGATGATCAATAAATTGCTGTTGAAAAATAAAAAGTTGTTTCCAGATCCTATATGGAAGTGTATAAATGAGGTTTCTTATTAAGAAAACCTCTCTAGTCATGGAAAACTTCTGAGTTAAGAAAACACAAAATACCTAACATCAAACTAGAGAGTGGATATTCTTAAGTCATTTGTCTATCCTGATGCCACAATTTTACTGCTGGAAAAACAAAAACAAAACCCCAGCATTACAAAACCACAGCCGTTGGAATCAGCAATGACAGGAGTTTAAAGTTTCTGGCTAAGCACTTTCCTTTATAGTTCTGGAACAAAAAGAGAAGCAACTGGCCTTCCCACCTTATATTTCCAGAGCCTTCTGGGGAAGACTGTTCTTCTAATCCCCATTCTAGGCTACAATGTAAGTATCTAGATCAAAAATCAGGAAGGCACTGAACCACAGAATATTATAGTTGAAAGGGGCTTTAATTCATCTAGCTTCAACTACCCTTCCTTTTCTATATACCTAGGAAACAGGAGAACATGGAGAGCCAAAGGTACTAAAGCAAAGGGGTCTTCTAATTCTTAATGAAAGCATACAGTTGGGGATAAACGTAAACCAGAAAATGAAAGAAAGAGAGAAAGGAAGAAAGGGAGGGAGGGAGGGAGGGAGGAAGGAAGGAAACTTATATATCAAATACAATTAAGAAAAAAGAATGAGATAATAATTGTAGGCTAAACTTTAATTGACTTACTTAATGGAATATTGTCTGCACTTAGTCCACCAAATAGAAAAAGTTTATCATCAGCTATTGGTGTTAAAGTATGCCATGACCGATGTTTGGGGTTTTCTCCATTAACAGGAATCCTGTGGTAAGGGGGAAAAAAAAATCTAGTTACTGTGTTAGTCAAAATGAAAGGTTTCCGATCAGCTCAGATTAAGGTAAAAAATTGCCTCATACTTTTTTTAAAAAAGCTGCTTTTACTATCTCCAGCTGCATTAAGGTTAAGATTTCAAAAACATTCTTGGGGCGCCTGGGTGGCTCAGTGGATTAAGCCTCTGCCTTGGCTCAGGTCAGGATCTCAGGGCTCTCTGCTCAGCAGGGAGCCTGCTTCCCCCTCTCTCTCTGCCTGCCCCTCTGCCTACTTGTGATTTGTCAAATAAATAAAATCTTTTTTAAAAAATTCTTAAATGCTTAGATGAATTTAGACAATCTTTTCATTTAGCTCTATGCCACTTGGTCACAGAACACAGACTGAAAATTACAGTCAGTTCTCAGTGCGTGCTTCATATCATGTCGTTTAATCCATATAACTTCTTAAGTTTTTCAACATAATTATTTTTTATGTCTGTAACTTTTTACTGTGGGCCCATGTTTAATTTTATATTTTTAGCTGATTTCCTCAAGGATATTATGGGATTTGGGTGCTGTTGCTTTTACTTTGGTTTACTTCCCTTACAATTTCCCAAAGCTTCTTTACCTGAAAATGCTAGCTACTCTAGCTTTAAAATAAAAGTATGCAGGGGTACCTGGATGGCTAAGTCAGGTAAGCAGCTGCCTTTGGCTCAGGTCATGGTCCTAGAATCCCAGGATAGAGGCCCATGTCAGGCTTCCTGCTCAGTGGGGAATCTGCTTCACCCTGTCCCTATGGTCCACCCCCTTCATTATCGAGCTTTCCCTGTGTCTCTCTCTCAAATAAATGAATAAAATCTTTAAAATAAATAAATAAATAAAAATAAAATAAAAATAGGTCTGCGTGGCTTGGTCGGTTAAGCGTCTGCCTTCTGCTCAGGTCATGATCCCAGGGTCCTGGGATCGAGCCCAGCATTGGGGTCCCTGCGCAGTGGAGAGTCTGCTTCTCCCTCTGCCTCTCCCCCCACCCACCCTGGCTTGTGCTCTCTCTCTCACTCACTCTCTCTTAAATAAATAAAGTCTAAAATACAAAACAAAACAAAAACAAAGACATCACAAGAAAAGAAAATGAGAGACCAATATTGGTCATGAACATAGACGCAAAAATCCTCACTCACCAAAATATTAGTAAATCAAATCCAAAAACTTAAAAGAATTATACATCATGACCAAATAAGACTTATACCCAGTATACAAGGCTGTTCAACACTCAAAAAGCAGCTAATGGAATCCACCATATCAATAGGCTAAAGAAAAATCAAATGATCAAATCAAAAGCAGCAGGAAAATAGAAGCATGGCTTCCTGCTCATCAGGGAGTATGCTTCTATCTCTCTCTCTCTCTCTCTCCCTCTGTCCCTCCTCACTGTACACACTCTCTCTCTCTCTCAAATAAATAAATACAATCTTAAAAAAAAAAAAGTTTGCAAGCCATTCCAGGTCCAGGATAAACCTCTAAAAATTTCAAATACTGTCCTATTCTTAAAGAAATAAAAACATAAGTACAAAAGTTTAACTTAGGAGGTAAGAGGATACCATTCTCCAGCATTCTGGAATGTTCCAGAATAATATGGGCCATTTGTAGAAGACATGATTATTTTTTCCAAAATGGAAGTATTTTTATGGTTTGTGTTGGCTATAAGAATCACTTTGGTTACAAAAGATTCAACAACCACAAAAGTAGTTTTTTTCACAAAAGTATTTTTAAAAAGGAGAGTTCTCTTATAATCCTGTCCTCCAGTGATGAGAAATAATAATAATTTGGTATATATCTTTCTAGGTTTTAATGTACATATAAACATATTTATTAAAAAATATAAATGGGGGGTGCCTGGGTGGCTCAGTGGGTTAAGCCTCTGCCTTCGGCTCAGTTCCTGATCTCAGAGTCCTGGGATTGAATCCCAAATCGGGCTCTCTGCTCGGTGGGGAGCCTGCTTCCTCCTCTCTCTCTGCCTGCCTCTCTGCCTGCTTGTGATTTCTGTCTGTCAAATAAATAAATAAAATCCTAAAAAAAAAAAAAAATATATATATATATATATATATATATGGGATCCTATATTCTGTTCTACAACTTTTTTCATTCAACTAATACACTGTAGAATATTTCTGTAAGTATAACTTCCTTTGGTAATGGAAGCATAGTAGCCACTGCGCAAATATGCCATAATTTAAACAATCCCCACTTGGAAACATGAGGGCTGACCCCCAGTTCTTGCTTTTACAATAATGTTGTAACACAAACACACACATGCGCACACATCCAATTACAGTCTTCGGAGAAACTCTGGATCAAAGTAGAAACTCCATTTTATGTTTTATTTCTTTAAAGATTTTATTTACTATCTGACACAGAGACAGAGAGAGAGGGAGAGCACAAGCAGGGGAAGCGGTAGGGAGAGAGAGAGAAACAGGCTCCCCGCAGAGCAGGGAGCCCAACAAGGTGGGGCTCAATCAGTACCCCAGAATCATGACCCGAGCCTAAGGCAGATGCTTACCCAAGCAGGCATCCCTGGCTTGCATACTTGTATTTTATTTTACATTTTAAACATATTGCTCCCCCATTTTACATTTTAAATATATTGCCAAACTACCTTCCAGAAAAACTGTACCAATTTATACTCCCACTAATAGTCTTATTATAAATGAGCACACCTTGTTATTTGTAATTATTTTTTTATCTGATAATTGAAAACTATTATTTTTAGTTCCATTTCTTTGATTGTCTATAAGGTTGAACACCTTTTAAAAATAATTTGGGGGGGCATGTGGGTGGCTCAGTTGGTTAAGTGTCTGACTTTGGTTGGGGTCATGGTCTCAGAGTCCTGGGACTGAGCCCTGTTTGAGACTCCTTGCTCAGTGGGGAGTCTGCTTCTCCCTCTCCCTCCCCTTACTCATGCTCTTTCTCTCTCTTTCAAATAAATAAATGAAATCTTAAAAAAAATAACTTTTGCCCATTTGTATTTCTCCCATGAGTTGCTCATTTATGTTCTTTGTCCACTTTTCTGTTGGATTGTTTGTCTTTTTCTTACTGATTTTCTTTTCTTTTTTTAAAAACATTTTCTTAAAGATTTTATTCACTTACTTGACAGACAGAGATCACAAGTAGGCAGAGAGGCAGGCAGAGAGAGGGGGAAGCAGGCTCCCCACTGAGCAGAGTGCCTGATACAGGGCTCGATCCCAGGACCCTGGGATCATGACCTGAGCCAAAGGCAGAGGCTTTAACCCGCTGAGCCACCCAGGAGCCCCTCTTACTGATTTTCTAAGTTCCTATGGCTTTAAGCCCTGTAAAATATACTGCAGGGGCACCCAGGTGGCTCAGTCAGTTACTCATCTGCCTTCAGCTCAGGTGGTGATCTCAGGGTCTTGGGATCCAGCCACACACTGGGCTCCCTGCTCAGCAGAGAGCCTGCTTCTCCTTCTCTCTTTGCCCCTCTCCCCACTCATGCTTTCTCTCTTTCTCTCTCTAGCAAATAAATAAAATCTTTTTAAAAATACTGTAAATATGACTTTTAGTTTTTTGTTTGTATTTTCCAATTTGCCTTTTAACTTTGGTGAATTTTTTTTTTTTTAAGATTTTATTTATTTATTTAAAGGGCACCTTGGTGGTCAGTCAGTTAAGCATTTGTCTTCAGCTCATATCATGATCTCAGGGTCCTGGGATCGAGCTCCATGCTGGGCTCCCCATTCTGTTGGGGAGTCTGTTTCTCCCTCTTTCTGCCTCTCCCCACTGTTCGTGCTCTCTCCCTCTCAAAAATATAAATATTTTTAAAAATAAAGATTTTATTTATGTATTTGAGAGAGAGCACAAGCAGGAGGAGAGGGAAACACAATCTCCCCTTGATCCCAGGACTTGATCCCAGGACCGCAAGATTATGACTGGAAGGCAGACACTCAACGGACTGAGCCACCCAAGCACCCTGGGTGTATACCATTTTTAAAAAAACTTTCTCCATTGCAAGATTTCAAAGACAATCTGCTATAATTTTTTTTTTGGCCATTTCAGTTTCATTTTTAATAGTATTTCTATTTTAGAATAATATATAGCTCTGATTCCATCTCATTACACGAACAGCTGAAGTGATAGGTAAATAGATTTATTCTATTGTTAAATATATACTTTGAACCACAATTAAAATCTGGCTTTTCCCTACTTCGTTATGTTCACTTGTTATGACCCCAATAAACTGTCCCTTCATTTCTTCTTCTGACCAGTTCTCAAGAATGCTTAGTACAAAACCAGTACTTTTACATAATCAATTTTAAATTGCTGGTATTCTCATGTTTTATTTAATTTAGTTAAAGAACAAACTCTGCATTTAAATCTGTATATTCCTTGCTTAGACATGTGATCTGAAGGAAAAAGATACTAGTTCAGTTTTAGAGATTCAGATTTGGATTATGATCCAAAAGACAGAGAGACAGACAGACAGACAGACACACACACACACACACGCCTTTTGATTAAAATATACTTAAATCTCATACTTACCTTCCAGACCAAGTCCAGGTATCTAAGTTCAGATAGTGCAAATCATTCATCCTAGTTTGCTAAAATAAAAGTGTATTAAATTAGTCTGTGTTTTACATCTTTCATGGGCTAAAATTTTAAAATAAGTTCAGATTAAAAATAGACCATCTCCATTTTACCAAACATCAGAAATTTATATATTGGGAAAAAATGCTAAGTGTTAATAAAATTAATCTAGAGCTACCCAATTAATTTATCGGGGGGGGGGGGAGATGGGTTTAAAGTAACAGGATTTAAAGGTTCAGAAATTTTAAAAACCTTTCTGGTTATGCACTGATGTGAAGGATTCTCTTCACTAAACTATGATTCATAAATCATCCATGATGATTCATGTATAGTCTGTTTAGGGGATGGAAAATAAAAGTTACTGAACAGCATTTTAGTATCTAGATAATTTGAATAGTCTGTTGTTCCCGCAAATCAGAAAATAATTTATGTAAGTAGAATCACATATAAAAATACCATTTCCATGAAAACACTAACCAAAACACGTCCACCAAAGATATAGCCCTTATTTCCAAGAACGGCACACGTGTGTGCGGCTCGAGGCTGTGGAGGAACTCCACCCTGCAAGCAGAAATGAGAAAACAGAATGCAAAGCCTTGAAACATGTTTAAGGAAGTCCCACTCCTACACTCAGTATGAGAAATACCTGACCACCAGATCACCATTACCTCTGTAATTCAATAAAAATCCTAAGGCAAAATTTCATTCTGAGTAGTAATAATTATAGACAAACAGTGTTCTTCAAAAATGAAATTTAGGGGTGGCCCAGTCAGTGGGGGGTCTGACTCTCGGTTTCAGCTCAGGTCATGATCTCAGGGTCCTGAGATGGAGCCCTGCCTCCCGTGGGCGCTCAGCAGGGAGTCTGCTTGAGATACTCCATCTTCCTCTCCCTATGCCCCTCCCCCACTCTTGTGCATGCTCTCTCTCAATAAATAAATCTTAAAAAAAAAAAGAATGAAACTTATTTACTCTGAGCTTTACTTTTTGAAGTGTTTTTCTTAACTGCCTGACACTATTTAGCAAAATAAAGTTTCATGTAAATTTCAGCTTGAACTATAAAGATTTAAAAATCAAATTAAAACGATTCTCTCTCTCTCTTCCCCCTTCCCTCTCTTCCCACACCCCTCCCCCAGAAGTTCATATTATGAGTGAGTAGTACACAATGATCTCAGAGACTCTAAGAAATTATATCCACCCCCTCAAACTCTTGGGAGTCTTAAATTCCACAATCAGGACTTCACTCTTGCCTTAAGCCAAACATTGCTTTATCACTTACTAAAACTCTTCCCATTAACTGGTAACACTTTTCTATACTTTACTTTGAATAAATATAGATCTCTTCTCCAGAGAAGTTTGGATTGGTGGGAAAAGAGAGAATATAATGGGTATATGAATGAATGAGATTTAAAGGAAAAATTTTCTGTATAATTCCATGTGTTCATGGTGGGTGCCTTTGTGTATGCATTTCATTCCAAGTTCTGAAAGAACTTTTTCAACATTTTCAGCACATTGGCTCCTGAATGTGGGCACAGGACATTTAAGCTCTACAGCCAATATCATAATTCTCAAGACTTTTCAGGCTTACTCGAATGACTGTCCTGAAGCCAACACCGGAAGAAATAATTCAGATATTACCAATTTAACACTTATATAAGTGAGAAAGAACCTTTTGAAATGTGGTTCTCAGTCATTCCAGCAAAACACAATCATTATTATTACCCCATTCCTGATCTGAAATTTTGGAAAAATTATTCTATTATATACACATTGATTATGAAATAAATACCAAATTTCTGTCAAGTGCATTTATTAGCCACCTAAAGCTTCTGAATAAGCTGAGTTCGTGTAATTCTAAACAAAAACAAAGAAATGGTGATCCCAGGGTCCTGGGATCGAGCCCTGCATCGGGCTCTCTGCTGGGCAGGGAGCCTGCTTCCCCCTCTCTCTCTGCCTGCCTCTCTGCCTACTTGTGATCTCTGTCTGTTAAATAAATAAATTAAAAAACAAAAACAAAAACAAAGAAATGGCATTTGCATTAATCTGTGTGTCTAATTGCCTAAGTAATGCACAATGCTTATTAAGTTGCTTGAAATAGTGAAAACAACTCGAAGATATCTATTACTAGTATATTGCTCTTAAGAGGTAAAAATCCCATATAGAAAAAACACTTTCAACCTTTCCATTTTATAGATGACACACTAAATGGCTTATCTAAAGTATAAAGGACAGAATTAGAATGCAAACCCAATTTCTTTTAACTTTGACACCAATAACTGGTACACCCTTCCATGCTGCCTTGTCTTTTGATCCTAATACTGGGAATAATGAAGTATTTTAAGAACGTCTCTAAAAAATGAAGAGACATCCAGGCACAGCCATGTGAGAATTTTCAATAAAATATAAACAATATAAGAACTCATTTGAAGAAATCGTCAGAGAAATTACACTGAAAATCTTGGTAAATATGAACTAAAATAGGGTTAGGTGTGTGTAAAAATGTTGGAGAAAGCTATAGACCGAGGTAAGAAGAGAAAGAAGGAGCCCAAGAACTAGTTACAAGCTACCTGACCTCCCTTTTCCTCAGGAGCACATTCTACTTTTATTATTATTTTTTTTTTTAAAGTAGGCTCCAGCCCAATATGGAACATGAACTCACAACCTTGAGGACAAGAGTTGCATGCTCCACTGAATGGGCCAGCCTGGTGCCCTGACAGGAGCACATGCTACAAATATGCCTTCAAGAGCTGCAGACTCCTGGTTTATCTGTAAAGAAGTAGAGGCAACAGATGCCCGAGAGAGATCCAGGATGAGTTTCAGTAGATACAGTCTCAACACTGTTTCTTGGCACCTGCTTGCTGACATAAGATTATCTGAATAGAGATAAAATGCTTTTATTTCATTAACAAAAGACATAAATCTTAAAATTCAAATGGATGTATGTCATTTGTGCATATTTGTGGACAGTTTTGGTTTTGTCCGTTTAGCACTCCATTTGGCGCAGTTCTGGTGACCTATTACCCACAATCCTCTGCTCCCCTAGGGTAAGCCCGAGACATGGGCCTAGCCCGTCATCTCTTTGGGAACAGGGACCAATGTAAAGAGTGGGAACCTGCCCAAATATGCAGAGTCCTCTTCTAAGACTAATTTATAGACCTTGAAAGAATACAGCACCAGTGGAAAGAACTGCCTGGATAGCCAGGACCACGTTCCCTCCTAAATGAGCTGGCTGGTCTGCAGTAGACAGAATGAAGCTAGAACACAAAGAGAAGCAAAGAGAAGTTGACGAAGAGCTATGGAAAATGTTGTGATGGTGTGGAGTAACTTCCTCTAGCTCCTGAGGCCCTAGTCCCTGCGGCTCTTCCACTATGTGAGCCACTCCAAAATATACCTTCCCTCTATGTAAAAATTCATTATGGCTTAAGCTAATTTGAATTTGGGTTTGCTCACTAGTTCATGAAAGAGAATAATAATGTATTTTTGTCATGCTTTAATTGTATGTAGATTTCAAGAGTATGAAATAGGGGCTTTTCAAAATTATGGACTTGACTGTAAAAGGTTTTTTTTAAAAAAAAAGATTTAATTTATTCATTTTTGAGAGAGAAAGAGTGGCGGAGAGAGAGAGAGAGCCCGTGTGCATGAGTGGGGGGAAGGGGCAGGGGAGAAGCAGACTCCCGCTGAGCAGAGACTCTATCCCAGGATCCAGAGATCTTGACCTGAGTCAAAGGCAGACACTTAACTGATTGAGCCACCCAGGTGCCCTAAAAGGATATTTTAAAAGTGCCATCATTACATCATACTTGTGGGTAAAGGAAAACTATGGTACCCACTTTGGAAGATTTTTCTAGACAACCTTAGCTAACCTGGAGAAAAACAGGTGATTAAAAAAAAAAGAGTATTAGTGATGGCACTTAAGGGGTTATATGATTATAAACTCAATTGCTAAAATCCAAATAACTTAGCAAAAAATATTCTTTTAAGGTATCGATGAATATACAAATACAAAGGTAATTTTTACAATACTTACTTTAATTTCTGGTTGAAACCAATTCTGTGTCTTTGTATCAAATACATGAACATCATTATGCCATCCCCAGAATATCTGTTCTTCCTAAAACAGGAATTTTAAAAATATTTCAAAGCTTTTGTGAACTTTAGGTTATTGTAACAAATTTCATTGCATATTTACTGGAGAAATAATAAACACCATTATAAAAATAGAGGTTAAGTGTTACCACAGTCATAAAGCTAAAGCACACACCCATGACTCATAAAGTGTGGCCTCCAGACTAGTCACAGCAGTCACCTGGCAACTTGTCTTCTCATAGCATTGCTTGCAGTGAGTCATAACTTTACTTGTTGATAATCTTCCATTTCTCTCAAAGAATAATCTCTTTTAAAGTTGCAGAGGACAGAATGACATTTATATTTTGCACTCTGTGTTCCTAGAGTACATGCTCAGAATTCCTAATCTTTACAATCAGCAACTTCAGTGGACCATGGTTCCTTTTTCCAAAAAGTTCCAATCACTTCTACTTAACCAAGCAATTTGTTCTTATAGGTCAAACTTGGGCTTACCCTCTTGTTTGTCTTCTAAGAGACAAAATTGTCAGCAGGGCAACCATTTAGCAATTACACTATATTTAGCATCTCTGGATTGTTGAAATCCTCTATTCCTGCTTTAGCTTGCCTCTGTGTCAGTTTTATGTTCTATGCCAGAAATACATCATTCATTTTTGTCAGAACTTGTCAAACAATTTAAACACACTAAACAATTTACTTAAATTAAAATATAAATGCAATCTACTTGTACACCCAAAACTACATGGTTCTTAGCCTAATGGTACTAGGAGAGAAAAAAAGGAGTAAAAATACGTAGATCAAAGTAATGGGAATTTATATTTTTGAAAATTATCAGTAATACTGTAAGTAACAAAATTTTAAGAGGCAAAAGATTTATACAATCTGAAGAGAAACCAGAGTATTAGTAACAAAACTTTAAGGATATTTTATTTTAAAAACTCAAAAACCTTGTAAATACAGAGATCTTTTTTAAATACCCATATACAAAAAGATACATATGAAATGTACATATAGATTTACATTATAATGTACAATAATAATATATGCTAGTAAAAGGTAAAAGCAAAGAGCTACTATATTTGTTGATGTTGGGATCAATGGTTTCTAAAGTTGTCTTTTAAAGGGTTTCATTTCATGTCATGTCTTATTTCACTAGTAACAGTTTATTCTCTAACCAGTAAGAATAAGTAGGAAAGGTAATATCACTACCAACTTACTCACTGTCAAACAGAGGTCAGCCTGAGCTATGAATAGTTCTGGTGGACACACCTAAAAGGAGATGTATTTCAACAACAGCCGTTCTGGTTATCTGTGAGCAAAGTTTTTCCAAGTTGTGCTAAAATCTCTACTTGTCTAACAGAAACAGATATAAGTGATTAATAAAGTAAGAAATTACTCTCCCGGTAGCCATGAAGGCTAATACCACTAGGTGAGAGAAGATGAGAGAAACTCCTCCAACTGAATCTAAATCCAAAAAAGAGAAAACACATTTTTCTCATAGTGTCAATTGTGGCAAGTTAAATTGAAAAAGACTGGACTCATTATTTCTAAAGACTTTAAAGTGATACTAAATTAGAGGAAAATGTAAACAGTGATTACCCAAGATGCATCATGAACATCAAAACAGTCTTGGAGTTCATTGTGTCTCCTACACCCATAGCCACCAAAATATATTAATCTGAAAAACAAATATAAAAGAACACACTTTAGAATTCTACTTCCAGTCTGTTCATCAAAAGTTGAAAGAGATCCTCTCTCTCACCCTAATAACCTAAACTAGCCAAGTAAATTAAAAAACCATAGTTAAAAAAAAATCAAAGAGAGAAGGGAACAAAGAAGTCTAAATGAACTATTCCAGAAAGCAATGAACTGTCAATAAAAGGGAAAAGACCCATGTGTACCTACTCTCATTCCTGGCATAAGAGCAAGAAGAAAAAGAATCCAGGACAGGTAGAGTTCGTAAAAGAAACCACCCAGATCAGGAGATCTGAAGGAAATACATCAGAAGCATACTAAGTCATTATAGTACACAGGATGGCTGCCCTCAAAAGACCAAGGGAGGAGGTACAAGGCTGAAAAAGATCTCCCAAGGTACAGAAAGCAAAAGGTGGGATTGGAGAGCAAAGAGAACTTCCTGGTGACCCAAAGACCTCCCAATGAGGCTATGAAACAAGGAGAGATCTTCCAGAGTTCTGAGGGAGGGAACAGTGTGAAGTACAGCTGAACTTCTTTAGACAATCTGCAGTGCTCAAAGGAGAGTCATGGTCTTGCCTCAAAATATTTGAAGGCAATTGTACAACAGTTGCAACAGTTTCAACAATTCCAAACACAAATCAACTATGAATGAGACTGACTGAACTACCACTCACTCTAGCAGCCTAAGAAAAACAGAAAGGCCATGTCCTTTTCTGGAAATAAATATTTTTTCTAAACCTTATTATTCTTTCATAGAGAATGTCTGGAATGTGGTGAAAAAAATTACAAGATACATGAAAAGGCAAAAAAAAAAAAAAAAAAAAAAAAGAAAGAAAGAAAGAAAGTGACCTATGATCAAGAGAGGGGTCAATATAAGCTGATCCCAAGGTGGCCCAGATAGTGGAATGATCAGACATGGCATCTACAATAACTATGATAAAGATGCCAACAGATCTAGTTTGTAACAGGTGGACAACATGCAAGAACAACAGAGCAATTTCAGTAGAGATGTAGAACCATGAAAAAGAACTGCTAAAGTGGAAATGCTAAAAATTGAAAAAAAGATGTCATAAATAAAGAATTGATTAAATAGGCTTCACAGGAGACTAGACATAGCAATGGAAAGACCAGTGAACTTGAAGACAGGTCAAGAGGCTAATAAAAAGTATCCAAGGGACATCTGGGTGGCTCAGTCGGTTAAGCTGCTGCCTTTGGCTTGGGTCATGATCCCAGGGTCCAGGGATCGAGTTCCGCATGGGGCTCCAGTCCCGCATGGGGCTCCATGCTCGGTGGAGAGCCTGCTTCTCCCTCTGCCTGTGCTCCCCCCTTGCTTGTGCTCTCTCTCTCTCTGACAAATAAATAAATAAAATATTAAAAAAAAAAAAGTATCCAAATTAAAACAAAGAGAAGAAAAGAGATGGGGGTGGGGGCGGGAATCCAAGGAGCCCAGGCTCTGTGGAGCAATACAAAATGGTCCTCTGTCATATAACAGGAATCCCAGAAGGAGAAGAGACAAATAAACGTCTAGGAGAAATGTTTGATAATTACTAAGAGCTTCCTAAAACTGATGAAAGATGTAAACCCACCAACCCAAAAAGCTCAGTGCACTCTAAGAAGGATAAATACAAGGGAAACTACAAATAGGAACCTTTCAATCAATGAGGAGCAAAAATTTAAAAAACAGATAAAGAAAAACCAGAGGAAAAAAAAGACGTATATGGGGGAACAAAAACACAAATGAGAGTGAATTTCTCATGAGAAAAATGGAGGCCAAAAGCAATGTAATAAAATCTTTAAAGTGCTGAAAGAAAAAAAAATGTCAACCAATGGGTGGAGGAAAAAAAATCACAAGGGAAATTAAAAATTACCTAGAAATGAATAAAAATGAAAATACAATAAAACAAAACTTATGGTATGTAGTGAAGGTGGTGCTCAGAGGGAATTTTATAGCTGTAAATGCCTACATTTTTTTTAAAAACATCTCAAATCAATAACATAACTGTACACACTAAGGAACTAGAAAGAGAAGAGCAAACTAAACCCAAAGATAACAAGAGGAAGGAAATCATGAAAAATAAAGGAGAATAAGCAAAACAGTGAATAGAAAAATAGAGAAAAACAACAAACCAAAAGTTCTTTGAAAAGAACAACGAAATTGACAAATCTTTGGCTAGGTTGACAAATCTTTGGCTAGGTTGACAAAGAGAAAAGAAGAGAAGACTCAAAGCACTAACACTGGAAATGACAAGAAAGGACATTACTATCAACATTACAGAAATTAAAAGGATTACAAGAGAATACTACAAAAACTATGTCAACAGATTGGATAAGTTAGATAAAACAGAATCATTTCTGAAAAGATACTATAAAAAATGGCTTATGAAGAAATAGAAAAACTGAATAAACGTATATAATTGAGTCAGTAGTCAAAAAATCTCCCAAAAAAGACAAGCTCAAGGCCAGATAGTTTCAGTGGTGAACTATACCAAACATTTACAGAACAATCAATACCAACCTTCTCAAAGTCTTCCCCCCAGAAAAAATGAAGAGAAAAGAACACTTACTAACTCACTCTATGAGGCCAGCCAACCCAAAACATTAGAACAAAAATCCCTGCCTATGTCTGATAAGAGATTAATATCCAGAATAAGTAAAGAACTCCTATAACTCAATAACAAAAAGACAAACCAATTTTTAAAAATGGGCAAAGGACTTAAATAGACATTTCTCCAAAGAAGATCTACAAATGGCTAATAAGCATATGAAAAATGGTCAAACCATTAGTCCCTGGGGAAATACACATCAAAACCACAATGAACACCACTTCACACCCATTAGGATAGCTATTATTTTTAAAAAAGAAGAGAGAAAGAAAGGAAGAAAAAGAAAAGAACAAGTGTTGGTAAGGACATAGAGAAATTAGAATCCAAGTACATTGCCAGAGGAAATATGATATGGCACAGTCATTGGGGAAAAACAGTTCAGTGCTTCCTAAAAAAATTAAACATAGAATTACCATATGACCCAGAAATTCTACTCTTAGGTATATATCCAAAAGAATTGAAAACAGGGACTCAAACAATACTTGAAAGCCAATGTTCATAGTAGCATTATTCACCACAGCCAAAAGGTGGAAACAAAGCAAGTGTTCATCAGATGAACAGATAAATGCACACAATGCATATAATGGAATGTTATTCAGCCTTAAAAAGGAGTAAGTTCTGATATCATACTACAACTTAGTGAACTCTGAAAATATTTTAAGTGAAATAAGCCAGACACCAAAGAACAAATATTGAATGATTCCACTTCTATGAAATATCCATAATAGGCAAATTCATGGAGATAGAAAGTAGATTAGAAGTCTCCAGAGTCTGGGGAGAAGGGGGAATGGGGAAGTATTGCTTAATGGGTATAGAGTCCCTGTTGGGAGTGATGATAAATTTGGGAACTAAATAATGTCGATGGTTGCACAAAATTGTGACTGTAATTAATGCCACTGCATTAGACGTTTAAATATGGTTAAAATGGCAAATTTTATGTTATATGTATTTTATCATGACTTTATCATGTCATGATAAAGGTGTAGTAAAAAGTAAGTCTCTCTCCTACTTTCACTCAGTCTCCCTATCTAGGGCAAATACTGTTTCCCATTTCTTGTATATATGAACAAGAAAAACTTCAAAAGACCAAAAATACTTTGTAGAGTTGGGATCAACTAAGTCTAAGACACAAAAGCACTCATCATAAAGAAAAGATTGGTAAATTAGACTATATTGAAATCAGATTACATTATTGAGAGAATGAAGAGATACATACCCAATAGAAATATTTACCCTTATGTACCAAAATACATAGAAGAATGTTCATAGTTGTGTTATTCTGAAGAGTCAAAAAGTAGAAATGCCCCAAATGTTTATCAACAGTAGCATGAATAAATATTTTGTAGTATTTCATGAAATAGAGTAATATACAGGAAAGAAAACAAACCATAGGTACATATGACATCATGAATGACTCTCAAAAATATAATTTCGGTAAAAGGATAAATTCTATAGGATGCCATATCTAATATAAAAAATTAAAAAATAACTAATTTAGGATACTAAAAGTCAAGATAATGGTTTACTTCAGCAAGGAGGATGAGCATAGTGATTATGAGTGAACATAAGGAAGGATTCTAGAATATTGATGATGATGTTTCTTTACTTGGGGGGTAGTTATGTGAGTTCATCTTGTGATAATTATTTAAGGCATACATTCATGATTTACAGTCATCCTATAAGAATGTTCTATAAAGGGATGCCTGGGTGGCTCAGTTGGTTAGGCGGCTGCCTTTGGCTCAGGTCATGATCCCAGCGTCCTGGGATAGAGTCCCACATCGGGCTCCTTGCTCGGCAGGGAACCTGCTTCTCCCTCTGTCTCTGCCTACCATTCCGCCTGCCTGTGCTCGTGCTCTCTCTCTTCCTCTAACAAATAAATAAACTAAAAAAAAAAAAGAATGTTCTGTAAAGCTTCAATATCTACACTAGTGAAGTATTTGTACATTAACTGATCAATGTAATAGAATAGAAAACTCAGATCAAAATACCAGTGAAAATTAGGTGAATATATGATAAAAGTAAGGAAATAACTGAGTTACAGACAGGTAGCCATTCAAAAAAAGATAAACCTGGATCCATATCTCATAACTATTCACAGACTAAGTTCCAAATGAATCTACAATTTAAATGTAAAAAATAAGAAAAAAGGGGTTGAAGGCTGGGGTAAATGGGTGATGGACATCGGGGAGGATATGTGTTACAATGAGCACTGGGTATAAGACTGATAAATCACAGAATTGTACCCATGAAACAAATAATACATTATATGTTACTTAATTTAATTTAAATTTAAAAAATAAAAAAATAAAATGATAAAAGTACTAGAGGAAAATATATAGGTAAATTAATGTATAACCTTTTAATCAAGATTTCAAGATCAGGAAGCCACAAAAGATAAAGATAAAAAAGGAAATTACTAATAAATTTATCTAATAAGTTTTAAAAATCTGTTTAATGCATGCAGAACACATTAAGTAAACTCAAAAGACAAATGACAAATTGAAAAAATATTGTCATGTTGTATCATGGTCAAACACTAATTTCCTTAATATATAAATAACTCCTAGAAATCAAGTTTATAAAAAGGAAAACTCAAATAGGAAATAATTTGCAAAGGATACAAACAGTACAGAGAAAAAGAAATAAAAATTGTCCTTAAACATATGAAAATACATTCACACCCACAAAAAATATTTTTCAGTGAAAATGAAAAAATAAGACTGAGATATTTCTCATCTGTCAGTCTGGCAAACAAACAAACAATTGGAGTTTGCCCCCAAACTCTTGGCAAGACTATGGAGAAACAAGCATTCCATTGTTGAGAATGCAAAATGGCCCCACTTCTAAGGAGGAAAAATTGGCAGAATCTATTGCTATAGGTTTGTGTTCTCCTTTCATATATTGAAGTCCTAATCCCCAGGATCTCAGAATGTGAACTTATTTGGAGACAGGTTCTTTATAGAAGTGATCAAGTTAAAATGAGGTCCTTAGGGGAGGCCCTAAACCAGTATGACTGGTGTCCCTACATGAAGGACAAACTGGAGACAGACACACATACACAGAGTAAACACTCTGTGAACATAAAGGTGGAGGTCAGAGTGATGCCTCTACATGCTCAAGAACATCAAAGATTGCCAGCAAATCCACCTAAGTTAGGGGACAGGCATGAGATAGATGCTTCCTCTAAACCTAGAGAAGGAGTCAATCATGCTGACATTTTAATCTTGGACCTCCAGTTTCTAGAAACATGAGAAAGCACATTTCTGTTGTTTAAGCCACTTAGTTTATGGAACTTTGTTACAACAGCTTTAGCAAACTAAACATTTGCCAAAGTTATAAATGCAATCTCATTTTATCCAATGGATAGATCTGCAATCATTCATACACACACACACACACACACACACACACACACACAGATAGTCATTAAAGCATAGTTTGTAATAGCAAAGGAACTGAAATAAGTATTATTTTGTTTATAGGGGAAAGGTCAAATAAACTATGGTATATCCTCAAAGGGGAATACTATGCAGCTATTAAAAGAAAGAAAGGAAAGAAAAGAGAAAGAGAAGGAAGGAAGGGAGAGAGGGAGGAAGGAACGAAATCAGCTTTCTCACTCGGGATACAGAAAGATGAAGATCTCCATGGTATAACGTTAACTAATGGAAGCAGCAGGGTGCAGAAGAATGTACAGACTACATGGCCATTTGTGTAAGGAAGAGAGAGAAAAAAGGGATACATGCATACACTCTTACGTATTTGCTTCTATTTGCATAAGGTAACACTGATGGCAGTGGTTTCCAAACTATCTGCATCCTGGACACACCTGAGGAGTTTCAAAATATCATAACCCCAGAGATGACCATTTAATTGGTATGAGGTATCACCTAGGCTTTGGAATTTTAAAAAAATCCCCCGGTGATTCCAATTGCAGACCAGTTTGGGAACCCCTACTCTAAGAATACAAGATTATTTGTGCATGGTGGAAGGGAACAGAGTGGATGGGGATAGGGGTGGGAGCCAGACCTTTCACTACCAACTTTTTAATACGGTTTCAATTTTTGAACCATGTGAATGTGTTAACTATTCAGGAAGTTTAATTAAATGATAAGTTTATTTAAAAAAACAAATAGTTGCTTTCACGATGCTTATCTTTATGACATGGCTCTTATCCAGGAGGCGGAACTGCCATTACCAACAGGGTCAAAACAAGTTTGTAATTATACCTTGAAAAAAAATCCAGACTTTCAAGTTTTCTCTATTTCGGCCTCTAGCGATAACCCTTACTTAAGTGTAGTTAATGAGATGATTTTGCTGCATTACCTGTCTTTATATACCCAGCAAGAAAGTTTATCACGTGGTGTGGGTGGTTGTCCTTCAAAACTGGTGATTTTTTCCCAAACGTAGGTTCCATCTCTTGTTCGCAAATTAACAAAATAAAGCTTTTAAAAGAGGAGAACACCATTAGCAGAGAGGGCATTCAAAAATTAAGTCTGTGTCTGAGGGATATGTGATCCAAAAATTAATAATATTACTCTTTTCTCTTTAAAAGTAAGATTTTTCATTGTAAAGTTAATAAAAATGAGACTGTGTTTTAGAAGCAAAAATGACATGTAAGACACCCTGAAATGGATCCTGTCCCATCATGCTCTGCCCTATAAGACACCAACTAAGCGTGGAGCTAACTATGAAGCAGAAAGACATGGAAGAAGAGAAGAATACAATGGCTGCATATTCACTCTATTTTTAAAACCCTGTAAGCTCAAGATTTTCTATTTTTATCTTTTTAAATATGTGGAAACTTGTGAGATTAAGTGACACACTAAATATTACATTTTGCTGCATTCCTGAATTGAAAGAAAGTATTACTCGATTGCTGTATCCTTTGTCATCATATCCTCCAAAAACGTACAGCTTTCCATTAATGCAAGCACCACAACTTCCTGACATGGAGGTAGGGAGTTCTCCTTCCATGAGGTGCATGGTCCTGCAGCAAGAATAACATGGAATTCCATGACTTTTTAGAAAGGCAAATTAAAAATTCCCTTTGAACTCCACGAGTACTCTTTCAACGACAACTGTCACTGACAATTACAATTGAAATGCCATGGTAGCCAATACTGTAAAAACTCTTTAAGATCCATGCTAAAGATTTTTCAGCCTATTGGAAGAAAAACTGCAGAATCTTCTCGTATCACTAGAATTGGGAATTAATTGGTAGAACAAAGCAAAGCCTTCTGGGGCAGCCTCAGCCTTGAGAGGAATGGCAAATGGCAAAGAGCAAAGAGAGGAAGGGAGCAAGGGAAAGAAAGAACCAGAGAGAATAAAGCATTCAAAGAAAAAGAAAGGGAGACAATAAATGTTGCAGTATGTTCTAAGTTTGGTCTTAATTTCCCTGTAGTCTATGAAAATATTTAAAACGATATTAAGATTGGACATTCTGCAATTGAAAATTACTTACCACAACCCACTATCAATATCATAGGTCCAAATTTCATCATTAGGCAAATATACTTCATTGTCTTCAATAGACTAAAAACAGAATACATAAAATTATGTTTATCAATTACACAATAACAATTAAATAGTTCCTCAGGATGGGAAAACTGCAATTAAGATGCTGCAAAATAGAAAAACATAAACAGGCTTCAAGATGGGTTTTTCAATTTAAATTAAGATAGATCAAAAAAGAAGGGAAAAAAGACATCTTCTAAGAACAAGTGGCAAACAAGAAAGGTCTAGAATACAAAATAGCAAGTATATGAGTCTCAAAGAAAAGACTCAGGGCAATTAAACCTTTAAAAAGGGATTCTGAGTAAGGGAAAATAGCAAAATAATAACATTCTGAGCAGAACACCAAAGACTACAAAGTCAGGAAGAAAAGGAATATCAAAAAAGGACAATATGTTTTGGGTGAAAGGAAGAAATTAAGAAAGGAAATTTTTATAAGGTCTATTAAGATATCTTGATTTACTGAACATATTTTTGAGTGCCTACTATGTGCAAGGCATAGTGTTAGGTATTCATTAAATACAGACTCTAAGGATCAAGATAAATTTACCTAGTCAATGTGGCAACTCAGAATCTGAATAATCTCTAAAGAAGCTGATAACATAAACAGAACAGTACATTCTGATATTTATGATGAAAAGAGAAAAAAGAATAGAGAAACAATCTTATTTACATTAAGTCTAAAAACTTAGGGATTAAAACAAATCCTTATACAAATCCCCAAATTTATTAGTCTGTAAAATAATTCAAAAAAGCTAGTTTTAAAAATAGCAGTTTAAGAATTTTTAAAGCTATATCATGCATATATTATTTATATGCTAAATATTATTTTCTCATTGGTTTGTTAAATTTTAAAAGATAGTATCTTGACTGCCAAGTATCTGACTTCTACCACTATCCCTCTGACAGACACACACACACACACACACACACACACAGAGCAGAAAATCATTCTGTTAATTCAAAGGAAAGCTGCATTCATGTCTGGTTGTAGAAGCCATATTAGATGGATAAGTAAGCAAATAATTGTAAGAAGGAGTGTAGTAACCATATGATTCTAAGTTTTAACGGCATCAGGCTCCAGCAGCCTCATGCACACAGTTTTACAACAGAAATATTACAAAAATAGATTTTGTCACTATTAAGTCCTTTCAGTGCTTCCCAGCTGCTCCCAGGATAGTCTACAATTCTTCTGATTCTGTATGGTACAGCATCTGCTACCCTCCCAAATCTCATCTTGCCTTTCATTCACTATGCTCTAGTCTTCTTTCAGTTGCTAAATTTCTGCAAATTCCTTGCTGCAACAGGGCCTTTATCTGTCCACTTCTGTCTTCTTGACATGCTCTCCCAGAATTTGCCTGGTTAACTCCTCATTCTTTGGAAATCAGTTTAAATGTTGCTTCTGTAATCTCCTAGAATAAGGGTAAAGGATTAAGGTTCCTATTAAATGCTCTCCTACAGTACTCTATTTGCCCGTCCAAGTCCTTTGTCTGTATCACATCCACTTACTACCACTAACCCATAGCTTTGTGAGTGCAGGGGTCATGTTTATCTTGTTCTAATTCTGTTCCCAGAGCCCAGCACAGTAACTGCACATAAAAGGCAAATGTAATGTTTGTTGATTGATTCAGTGAATGGATACATGAATAATACTTGTTAAATTGACAGCAGGCTCATCTCAGCCTGATTAAAAAAAAAAAAAAAACAACAAAACAACCTCTTTCACTAATCTTTAAATGGAGTGGTACAAAAGAAATGAATCAAAGAATTGAAAAATTTGGACTTAGATTCTTGTTTTCTGAGACATTTCATTCTTAAATTATCCCCTCTTTTTTTTTTTTTTTTAAAGGAGGGCTTTTATTATTTTTTTTTTAAGGTTTTTTTTTTTTTTTTTTTTTTTTTTTTCAAACAGATCACAAGTAGGCAGAGAGGCAGGCAGAGAGAGACAGGAGGAGGAGGCAGGCTCCCTGCTGAGCAGAGAGCCGGATGCGGGACTCGATCCCAGGACCCTGAGATCACGATGTGAGCCGAAGGCAGAGGCTTTAACCACTGAGCCACCCAGGCGCCCTAAATTATCCCCTCTTTTCTACATCATCAAGTTTTCTTTCTCTACTAGATCATTCCTGTAGATATCCAAATATGCCTTAATATCATTCACCTTTAAAACAAATAAACCCTCCCTTAACTCCTTCTCTTATTTCTTGACTCTCTTCACAACAAAACTTCCATTCTAACTATAGAGAATGTCTCCACTGTTTCATCTGTCATTTTCTCATCAATTCAGATAAATCTGGCTTCTGAACCCATCATCCCACTAAAATTGTTCTGTCAAGATGACCCTAAAAAAGAAAATTAGTTAACCAAGTAATCTGGAAATATGGCCCAGAGAGATGGAATATAAAAAAAAGAAGTTAAGAGACATGAAGAAAGAGAAGAACTTAGTCTAATCAGAAGTTCATTAACATGTAATAGAGAGAATGAGGAAGAGGCAATATTTGAAGAGACAAAGGGTGAGAATTTTGCAAAACTGCTGAACATCATCAATCCTTGAGATCTAGGAAGTCCTAACAACTTCTAAGCATACATAAACAGAAATCCATACCAAGACACATCAGTAAAATAACAGAACATCAAAGAAAAATATATATTCTTAAAAACTGCCTGATAAAAAACAAATCACCTTCAAACAAATGGCAACTAATGACTGAATTCCCATTAGGAACAACCAAGGATTAGCCAATGTGTTTAATGAAAATAACTGTCACCCTGTAATTCTATACCCAGTAAAAGAATATATTTTAGGGGCACCTGGGTGGCTGAGTCAGTTAAGTGTTTGCCATCGGCTCAGGTCATGATCCCAGGGTCCTGGGATGGAGCCCCACATCAGGCTCCCTGCTCAGTGGGAAGCCTGCTTCTCCTCTCCCTCTGCTGCTCCCCCTGCTTGTGCTTCCTCTATCTCTGTCAAATAAATAAATAAAATCTTTAAAAATATATATATATTTTAAGAACCAAGGTAAAATAAATTTTCAGGCAAACCAAAGTTGAGACAGTTGGCCAATAACCCTCATTTAAAGAAATTCTAATAGCTGTCTTATTTCAGACAAAAGAAAGATGATCTGCAATTAAAGATCTGAGATGTGATAAGAAACAGTATGACAAGATATCGGTAAATGTGTGGGTAAATTTAGACCATAAAAAGGGCTAAACTTTTTTTTTTTTAATGCTTAATTTAAGGGGAGGGAAACAGGATAAGACTACCTAGGGAAAGGGGTGACTGGACTTGAAATTTTCTAAAGTACTTGAACTCTCTGGGAAGAAAGAAAACTATTACCTTTGAACTTTGCCAAGTATTCATGTTGAAATAGAGTAGCTACTACACGGTTAGAAATAAATCATAATTTCTACACAAAGACAAAAAAAGTGTAAAGAGAACAAAAACCCCCTTAAACAACCCTTGAAATGAGAAAGTTGAGAAGGAGGAGGAAGAGAAACAGAGAGAGGCAAATATAAAACATATCTGGGGAAGCTTGGGTGGCTCAGTCAGTTAAGCAACCAACTCTTGATCTCAGCTCAGGTCAGGATCTCAGGTGGTGAAATGGAGCCTCACATCAGGCTCCACACTGGGCATGGCACCTGCTTAAGATTCTCTCTCTCTCCCTCTGCCCCTCCCCCACCCCACCCCTGCTCCCCTTCTTTCTCTCAAAACAAAAACAGAACACAAAACAAACAAACAAACAAAAAAAACCCACATCTGGTCAAAATAGTATATCAGAATCACATTAAGTATAAATTAGCTAAATAAACTCTTCAGATAAAATATACAGAGTGTCAGATTAGACAGAAACAAAATCCAGTTATTTTCAGGTTATAACACACACATCTAAAATACAAAGATACACAAAATTACCAACAGAAGATAGAAAAAGGTATACCATGCAAACATTAACCAAAAGAACACTGGTGTAGATGTATTGAGAAAACAGATTTTCAGGCAAGTAATATTACTACAGAGTGAGGGGATCATTACAAAATAATAAAACATTCAATTACCCAGGTAAAATAATTCTAAAGTCATATATACATTAAAAGATAGCTTAAAATACATTAAAGTAAAAACTGACAGGACCACAGGGAGAAACTAACAAATCTAGTCAGAGTAGGAGTTTTTAATGCCTGTTTATAGTCACTGATAGAATAGGAAATAAAATAGTCAAGAAGGATATAAGAGATTTGAACCACACAATCAGCAAGATTGATAAAATAGGCATATATAAAACACTTCACCAGATCATTAGAATATATATTCTTTATAAAAACAAAGGTATATGGGCACCTGGGTGGCTTAGTTGCTTAAGCAACTGCCTTGCACTCAGGTCATAATCCCAGGGTCCTGGGACAGAGCCCCACATCAGGGAGCCTGCTTCTCCCTCTCCCTTTGCCTGCCCTCCCCGCATGCTTGTGTGCATGCTCTAATATTAAATAAATAAAATCTTAAAAAAAAAAAAAGAACTAAGGTACATTTATGAAAACTGATCACATGCTAGTCCTGAAAGCAAGCCTCAACATATTCCAAAGGACTGGCAACAAAGATAAACCACATTCTGAGTATAACACAATTAGTCAGAAATTAATAACAGATACCTAACCATAAAAATAACATAGAAATTTAAAATATTTTCCCAAACATATGGGTCAAATAAGAAATAATAGCGGAAAATATGAAATATTGGGATTATAAAATAACAAAATACTGCTCATCAAAATGAGGAAGCAGCTAAAGAATTTTAAGTACTTAAAAGAATTTAAAAATCTCAAAAAGAATGAGTTAAGCATCCAACATCAGAAGTTCAAGAACTAACAACATAATAAACCAATAGAAAGTAGGACATGAAAGGCAGACATTAATGAAATAAAGAAACACAAAAGAGAAGACCAAATAAACCAAAGCTGATGTTTCAGAAGGCTGATAAGCCTCTGGCAAAATTATTCAAAAAAGGAAAGAAAGGAAGTTGCCATTAAAT